TCTAGTAACATGGCATATGATGAAACATTTATTGTAATAATATTCAAGATGAAGGGAAATGAAGCTGTAATCTCCAGCATTGCTTCTGATAAACTCAGGAGTGACTTAAAGTGGTGTCTGAGAATAACATAAATCATACATATTGGAGTGACTGGAGGAGCAAGAATGAAGAAAGCTCCCCCCTCCTTCCTTTGGGCTCCCTGAGAACCGATCCTTCCTCCCCTGAACTCTTAAGGATTACTGCTACTATTAATTAAAAAAAGGCAGAAATGGAGGAAACGTCACATGCTATAATTTCATCACAGTCGCTAGTACTAAGGTAGCAGGGAGGAGAAATAAGAGGAAACCCCACAGTAAAGCATAAGCCCTTTCAAGGCTTTTGTTGTGTGCCAGAGAAGTTTTTGGTACTGAAGCAGCAATATAGCCAGGGCTGCAGTGACATTTGTAAATGAGAACATGGCAAGGCTGTCAGCTTGGCCAGCACAAAATGCTCTGTTCAAGACTGGATGGGAAAGAAGTCTCGCTTAATCAAAAGGGGGATTCAGTCCAGAAAAAAAAAAAAAAGGTTCGAGAAACAAAACAGATCTGATAAACAAAGGATGTGGCAAAAAACAAAAGTAATCGAGACAGAGAAGAGGTCACGCAGAAACACAGCAAGTAGGGACGGCAAGGGAAAAGACAGCTGGGATGAAAAAGCAGGGCTTGTGTAAAGGCAAAGGGGCTTTGAAAAGCTCAAGGGAAAGGCAAAGGGGAAACAGAAAGACTGATATAAAGAGGATAAATGGAAGGAAACCTCTCAAGATATTTCCATAGCCAAAGCATGAACTATATTGATTTTTCTGAAGGTGGTTGGGTTTCTGGTATAATTTTCTTCTATATTTGGTTATTCTGGTTTAAAATGAGGAGGGATGTAATATGGGAAGCATGAGCAGGCAGCCCCATTGAAGTAAATCAGTGTAACCCTATTGGTGCGTAGAGTTAGGCTGAGAAATCGGGCCCATTAACTGTAATTGTGAATCAAGAGGAAAACACGGTCATTTTGTTTTCATCTTCATTACTCCAGAGTGGAGTTCGCAAGTACTGAGGATGTCTTTGACTGTGATTGTACAGACCTTAGTTTACACTCTGTGTGATTAAAGAATAATTAATTATATTAAAGAATAATGAGATAATGATAAGACTAAACAATAACCAAAATAACATGCTCAGAGACAGAGAGTGAAATGTGACTGCCTCCTATATGGACTCACTCAGGGTGGAGGGACCTTTCTTTCCCTAGCCCATCCTTAGAAGTCACAACACCACAGTTAGCACTCCATGTTTAACCCAATGAAAGTGTGATTATGCTATTTAGGAGGTATAACTAGGACATACCTGGCTGGACCTACCAACACATGTTGTTCCTTTTCCTAGAGAGGCAAGAACCACATAGGCCTTCTCCCTACACAGGGAGAGTGCTATTTCTTGCCTGCTGCACAAGGCACCCAGCACATGATAGCCCTTAGCTACTAGTTTTGAGATTTCAGAAATTCCTAGAGAAATGACTTTCATTATAGTACGGGTAATACATTATGGCAGAGGCATGGAGAAATGCCAGCACATCTCCTTCAAACACGAGACTGAAACTAATCAACTGGAAATAATCCATGAACCTCAGTAGTTTCCACATCAAAAGGAAGACACTTGATGCTTGATTCACCTGCCACCTCTAGGGACTTACCGAATTCATGGCAGAAGTAAGCACTGCAGCTCTTTTAATCTTCCAGGTTCCTATGTGTGTCCGCCCTGTCTCCACCCCATCCCCCCCCCCACTGCTGATTGGTGGAGAGACCTTGCTTGTGGCCTGATTGGCAGAGAAGTGAAAACTGTAGTTTTAAGCATGGTACCATTTGCCTCCCCACCAGTGAGCAGCAAGCAGTGGGGCCACAGGGGCCCCTCAACCAATCAGCGGCGGGAGGTAAAAACAGCGTGATACTTAAAACTTCAGTTTTCACCTCCCCACTGATCATGAGGAAGCTGCAAAGTGTCAGGGGAGTATGTGGGGAAGCCTGCAAGATTAAAGGAGCTTCAGCTCACCCCACTTCTGCTGTGAATTCGGTAGGTCCTTAGCCATGTGAAAGGTTATCTTTTTTGAACCCCTGCTTTGCCAATATAGGTATTTGTCCCTAGAAAAGGTAGCAAGTGTATTATGCTTCATTGGAGTCCATCCAGAAGACTCCCTCTATGAGATTGGCTGCTCCAACCCATCTCTAGTTAGCCCTGCCTTCTTCTGGTCAAGTCCCCTTTGCTTGTGGGCTGTACTCTCTGTAACTGGGACCCCAGAACACGTCATTTTGGATGACTATACCATCACTTCACTTCCATTTCCAGCAGATTTGCTTGTGTTAAGGCACACCATTTGGCTAGGAAGAGAGCTCATGAAATGAAAGGGCTCCTGACCAAACTGCTACTGTTGAATGCTGACATTACAGCTAGGAGGGAAGATGTAGTCCACATGACAGTAGTGTGTGAAGAGGTTGATTCTGTCCAAAAATAGTACTTAAAAACTTTACAGGTAGATATTGTATGCTGTGGGACATGCTCAAATCAGGAAGACAAGCACTAACTTATGCAGTTATCACCAGAAGAGTGTTCAAAACCAGATCTAGTTCCCTAATGTCTTAAGTACCGCAGCCAATTCCTTGATTAGGTATGAACAAGCCATGGTCAGCAGAGGACCAGGGAGGTCAATGCAAGGTGGTTTCAGTATCAGTGAGTATTTTAATTGTAAAATAAAGTGAGGCCAATAATTTCCTTGAAACTAATCAGCTGGTCTCACATGTGACATCTCATCCAGCTGAAGACTGGAAGCCTTTTGGGACAATGCTGTGCCGACTCCATGACATTATTGGCTCAAATGAAATTGCCAGATTCAAAATACATTTTTCTGAATGAATGGGTAAAATCTACTTTATAATATCAAAGCTAAACAATGTTTGGGTATTATCAGCACTATTGAATAGTCTGAAGTGAGTTTTATGAAAATATTTGTATTAAGGCTGAAGTTATATATTTGGATATACATGCATCTTTACTCACCGTCTTCATCTCTTTATTCCTTTTTCCTCTTACTTAAAAAATAACATATTTTTAAATTGAAAGAGATATTTGTTGTGGAAACATGAGGAGGGAGAAGGGAAATTCTCCAGGCATAAGTATGTAAAATGTGCAGCTGTCAGGTCTCTGATTACTTTTTTTTAGATAAAAGAAACCTTTGAGCATACTACTCATCCATTTTTGCTGGGATTTTTCCAAGCATTTCTCCTGGTATCAGTTCACAGAAGTTAACACCCTCCTTCATCCACAATGATTTCTCCTAGAATTTGAGGTTCAAATAAACTGCCCAACTACTGAAGTTTACCTGGACTACCATCAAAAACTTGGGAAGACTTAGATTGTGCAAACCACACAACTGATCACCTTATTATGAGTAAGTAATAGTAGATTTAATTGACAGTTACTCGCTAAGCCTGCTACTGGGCTTTAAAATGTCCTGCATATTTAGGGGGCAACCAGATATAATAGAAATAACTCTCTGGTGAGCATAAAGAAGACCCAGATACAAACACAAGACTTCAAACTACCTTTTATCTTTGCATAGTACTTCCATTAAGATCAACGGGAGCTATGCAGACAGATTGTGGGTAGTGGTTAGACATTAATGGAAAGTTTTGAAAGCAGTTTTCAAATTGTTTCAAGTTTTCATATGCATCAAACAGCCCAGATTTTAATTCTACTGGGAAAGGATCCAGTGGCTCTAAGACTGTGTATTATTTACATATAAAAGATTTATTCTTTAACATTAAAGGGCTGCCTGGTATAATGAGTTAAACATCAGCAAATGACTCACATAAGCTGTAACCTTTCCCAGTTATTTGGCGATGGCTTCCAGTAACGCTTATGTCAGTTGCTGCACATTTTTTAAATGTTAATTCAGTTTGGTCTTATTTATTCACAATGTTATTCCTGATATACTAAAACCTTTAGTGTGCCATTTTTAACTTGTCAATTGTTATTCCACCCTCTGGAGTCTTTAGATGTTGCATAAAGAAAAGGACGTAAAGAGAGGAATTGAATAACCAAAGAATATGCAATGGTATGAATTAAAATAAACAAAGAATCAGTAACTAATGAGTAGAAAGTATCGTACAGTATGTCATTCATTTAGCTCTCTCCGTACATGATAGTGCCAGATGGTGCCCTCAGGGAGTTGGATGTTCTCATCGATACTCTAGCACTACTAAAGAGGTGATGAGAAAAAGGAGATGAGGTGGATAACACCAATTGACCCAGCAGAAAAATGATTATGATTACATGACTAATGACTCAGGGAACAGGACAATACCAAAAAATAGGAAGCATGCCAGTTTGTGCTGGGACACATTTAGGTGACAGAGGCAATTTGAGGACAACTTAAGAATGGATTCTAAGCGATATGCATAATAAATAATGGTTAGGAAAAAAATTTGCCATTATAGTACAATCTAAATGGTACTTGGTTAACTCAACACCAGGTTCCACAGATGTTAGCAAGTCAAATGGCACCATTTCATACCACTCACTGATTTAACAAAGTACAGGGTTTTGAATGGTCTCCCTTGATAGAATTTCTCTCTGCTGCACCCTACTTGAGTCCCTGATTCTCCACTAGTGTCCTTGGTAGAAGTTTTGCCACTGAAGTCACTGGTATGATCAGTGAAATTCTGTTGAAGATCCCATCACATCAGCAGATGTAGCATCCATCTCCACTACTCGAGACTTACCAGGAGTCACAGTTCTCTTCACTCAGCTTAGGGCACAGGGATATAACACGCATCTCTTCTTTATATAAACTTTATGGAGCATGTGTTGATGGGGAATACTCATGGCAGCAGAAGTGTCTCCTCCCATCCCCAGTCTAACCCTAGCTAAGCCCCCGAAGCATTCCTCTTGCTAGTGTCATAGGACACAGAGGATCAGACTCAACACCAAAGCTTCAAAGGACAGCAAATTATGATTTATTAGGCAAGAAGAAAAAAAATGCAAATGTTGGTCGTGATCCTTCAACAACAGGAAACTAACCGAAGGAAGGCGTTCTAGTTCTGGAAGCAACCTCAGGTACTGATTTGGCCATGTGTGTCAATAAGCCCTTTCAATTTGAACACCTTGTATAACACTGGAAATCCTAAGTATGTCAATAACACTCCATCATCAAAGTGCAAGATGCCTACTTTTAGATTTTTGGCCTTCCTCAGCCAGTAACACAGCTACCTATTTTCTACAGTAGATCTATTTTATTTTCCCTACAGCTAATTTCAACAAAAACAAACAAACACATGCCTGTGTTTTCCACCGAAACATTATTTGGCTGAAATTTGAAACACAAATCTTCAGCTAAAAGAGAATCTATGCAGATTTGGAAGTATTGCCCAGGTTTGTCTTGGGGTTTGTTGTTTGGATGCCTCAGTCTCCTATATTCCTTCAGTGGCTGGCCTTCATGGACAGCGATCTCTCCCATGACACAACAAAGTCTCCCCTCTTGAAGAAAGAAAGCGGTGAATCATAGGATCTGCTGGTTAAGGGATGTCACAAGAGGTGTCAACCAGAAATCAGAAAAATGTGGGTCAACCAAAGTATCCATACTTCTGACAATGTGAACATGAGACAGTCTACCCAAATTGTCATGAGTCTTTATGGCAACATTTCTGGTTAGAATATTTTGGTTTCAAATGCAATATTTTTCCACAACTTATCAACATTTTTGGAGGAAAACATATACTTTTCACAAGAAGTTCTACTTAAGACACAAAACCATTTGGCATTTAATCTATACTTGGATGGATATATTTTAACCAGCATACTCCTTTATTTAGAGAACTGGGAAGAAGGTAGCAACTTACTTTTATTTCCAACGTAGCTAGTGGTTCTATATACACTCTTACTTGGTTGAAACTTTTTACAGGTGGTTCAAACTAGATATTGTTTATAAAATTGAATTTGTTTTGTGTTGATTATGTCTTGGGATCTGTTCTCTAGACAATTGGGACTGGGAAACAGAGCAGCCCAAGTTGATATTGAATGCAGCTTTTTACCATGTGCTGGCCTATTTAAATGAGTTGGGGAGCTGATTCCGTATTTTAAACAGGTGGCCACATTCCCCCCCACCAGAAAATGCAACTAGAAATGACATCTTTGTTGACAGTCCTGTCAGGTTAATTGGCCTTCAGGACTTAGCTAATTCTCACATCAAGAGGCTTGAGAACACAGTCGGAGCTGTGTGAAGAACCTTGAACTGCTGCTGCCAACAATGTTGTCAGATCATAACAACTTTGATGGGCTGGATTAGGAAATCAATAAACACACATTGACATGCTGATCCCCTTAGACAGAGTCATTAAATAATATTCAGATAAAGGGGCCCTAATAGTGTTTGCAGAATCAATGACTGCGACAGAGGATGGGGAATTTTGTTTTATAAACAAAAAGTTAAAGAAAAGAAATATGTCAGATACCATGGCATTAAAGAGCTAAATTGCATCCGGCAGTCCATGAAATTGTGCATTTAAAAAGTACTGATGGCACACCAACGTAAATGTAAAGATGCTCATAGGAACACAGTGTGACTGAAAAAGATGTCTTGGTTCATCAAGTTCAGTTCCCTGCTATCATAGAGATAACTAAGTCAACTTAAGGCATGTTGGAACATACACATGTACAGCTCCTTGACATGGTGGCAGTCATCTTGAAAGCCATTGTACTTAGAGGGCATGTCTACACATGCTTTTATGTGTGCCTAAACTTAATGTGTATTAGCCTAATGTGTGCATATACTTGTGCATGCACTAATGCACATTAACATGGGTGTATGGACTGACTTGGGACTAACTTTGGTCCCAAGTCAATGGACATATACCAAGGTAAAGCCCATTAGCATGCCTACATGTTTGCTAATGCAATTTAACTATTTGTGCATAAATTTGATACCTACTTTATTTGGTCCCGTGTCAACGGACATACACCATGTTAACGCACATTAGCATGCCTACATGTTTGCTAATGCAATTTAACTATTCATGCATAAATTTGATACCTACTTTATTTGAGCCAAAATAAGGCTATCTGAGAATAGCTTTATATGATTTTAGGCTATTCAAGCATAGTCTTAAATGGTTATTTTATGGTGTATTAAACGTGCGCATGTGTAAACACATTCCTTTAATATGCCTTAAATCAGACAAACGAACATTAAATGAGCACATGTAGATATGCCCAGAGTTGACTTAACTAATGAGACCCAAGATAATACACCTTGCACTGTATTTAGTTTGACTCTGCTCCACATACATGTGTATGCTCTGACATTTAAGTCAACTTAAAAAAGATTAAGTTGACTTAACCGTCAGAAAGTTAGTATGTTGTACACACCCATAGGCAGCAAGTCATATAATTTTATTTATAAACTGATCAAGGGACCGTCTTAAAACAAGTTAGTTCTCCCAAATCCCCTTATCCACTTGAGTTGCGGGGTGGGGTTGCTTCATAACCTCATTTCTGTATAGTTAGAAACCTAGCTGTAAGTGGGATGGAACCCTGCTTGTCTTCTCTTAGAAATTTATTGAACCCAAAGAGTTTCCATATGACATTTTGATTGGCCTCATCCAGCAAAAATGTGTTTCACTGGAAAATTCCCAACATTCCATATTTTATAGTCCAGCCTTTAGTTCAAATCCTCAATCTGGCATAACTGGGGAGGAACTAAAGAGGTCAGTGGAACTACCATAAATTCATACCAACTGCAATATTCAAACCAGGCAGAAAGTAACATCGATAATTTACTTTATCTTGTATAAAGGAAGCTCCTCTTTTCATTTCTGGTGTTCACACTGCATTTGCATGTATTACAAGAGCCATGGTAGGTGATGTGTCTGTCTCCTTACCAATGCATTTAAAGAGCAATTAACAATATTCATGTTCATAATATTACAGGGGAAATTTTCCAAAAATCCTATGGGTATGTTTTTCTTGACTGCAGCATGAATGTCTGGGATACTGAATTTGTTGGCATTACTCTGCATGTCACATCTAATTGTTTTCATGAGTCTTTCTATGAAGAGAGGCAGACAGTAATCATAGAGTTCATCAAAAGTACACGAGGCCACTGAATGGGATATTTTGAAGTTTCCAAGATTAGTAGTCAATCTAATCCAGTCAAATTACTTAAAGGACCCAGGGTCATGGTATTTTGGAGCTAAAAGGGGAAAAAGAAGAAGAGCTGGAATTCTGCACATATGTTACCTCTAATTCAGTGCTGAGACTATATTTCCTGTAGTCTCATTTCCATGTGTACTGTTGGAAACAGGTGGCTAGCCAGACAACCCTTCAATGATAGGACTTTTTACTATTTGGGATGGGTGTCTGGCAGGCTGAGCCAAAAACATTCATTTGACAATTGCTGCATCCATCTGCCAGCTAGAAAAAAAATCTCTCTTCTGTGCAATTAGCAAGTAGCCAGATACCTTAATATGCATGTATAAATATAAAATGTAGGATGCATTGGCAAAAGCTTCTCGCAATCTCCCTTTCTCTCATGCAAATATGAGGCTGATGAGAACTGTTCAGTTATGTAGCTCCTGATTCTATGATGAAAAGGACAAAAGCATCTTTTTTGAGCCAAAGTGAAAATGAGATGGCTTTAATTCTTCTTTTACCAACTGCTAATTCAGGCCTGTTTTACAATAGCATGATATACTATAGCTTTCACAAGTGGAAAAGGAGTGTTATATATTATAGTTTAAGACATAGTTTCCAGTGTAACCTTTCTTTTTCAGCTGCCTAGGTTTGCTCAGACTGAAAGTATGCTTGGTCTTTTTAGAAAGTGTGAGTACAATCAGTTCATCTGTTTTTGAATTATGCTCTGATTTATGTGAAGAGGAAGAAAATACTTTATCATATCTTCTAATTGACATGGCATACTCATATAAGTCATAAGACAGAACAAGTTGCAGCAAGGGAAGTTTAAGTTAGATATTAGGAAAAACACTCTCAGTAGGAGGGTAGTAAAGCACTGGAACAAGCTTCCAGAGAGGTGGTGGACTCTCCATCCTTGGAGGTTTTTAAGACCTAGCTAGACAAAACATAGACTGGGCTGGGATGATAGAGCGGGGGATGTCCCTGCCTTGAGCAGAGGGTTGGACTACATCAGGGGTGGCCAACCTATGACTGTAGAGCCACATGTGGCTCTTCAGAAGTTAATATGCGTCTCCTTGATTCTTTGCACAAGCACATGGTGACCAGCTTCCAAATGGACTAGACAATGCCCTGAGGTCCCTCCCAACCCTAAAGTTTTATGATTCTATATGGAAATAGGAATTGTGCACTTTCCTTGTTTTGTTGTCCTTTTGAAAAAAGAAATCCAGGCAGGAAGAAAATTATCTGCAGTGCTCTGGGAACTGGCAAGTAATGTTTCTACAGTCGGGCTGTTTGTACACAGGCATTAGAGGTTATATACCTTTATGAGCATTTTCAGCACCCTTAAAAATAGCCAGAATATAGCTGGATGAACTGATAACAATGGACGTTTTATTTAATGCCTTCCCTAAGGATGATCTCTTTCTGAGCAGGTTGTAGCCCTGGTCTTATTTTTAAGTTCAAGTTGCTTGAATATCTTGGATAGAGAGATTGTAGGCCACATGCAGCTCATAAGCTGTTTGCTGATATTATTGATCAAGGTTTCAGATTTTTGGAATTGGCTATTAGAATTGTGTGATTTGTCACTTAAGCCATAGAGTATTGTTTCTGATCCATGGCGGTTTGATGACCAAGAGCTTTGTAGACAGTAGAATTTCAGTTCTTTGAGGGAGGAACTGAAGAGCTGAGTAGGGTTTGGGGTATAGCCAGCATTGTCTACTGGTCCAACCCCTGGACAAGGCAACTGGATTCTTTTGGCTCTGCCATTAACACACAGGCTAAGTACAAACAGTCAAAAAGCCTGAAGCTGAATTGGTTCAGTCTTCGCAGGTTAGTCTAAGCTGTGTAGATTGAACTGAGAAGCAAGTGAACAGACATTCATTTCTGATTCCAGAAATACAGCCACACACCTGCAGTGGCCCAGGCTAGAAACTGGTGGGCAGGCTCCCTGCTCATCTGAAGCAGACAGCTTGGACAAGGCTAGCTCACCTACCCTGCAAAGAAGGGTTTTCAGGGGAGGTGTGAAGCATCCTAAGATATTGGGGGACGGTGAGTTAACTTGAATCTGGAGGGGATCTGGGAAAGAAGTTCAATAAACCAATATCAGTGAAGTCTGTCACTGCCATCCATATAGGTTTATCTTAAACTGATTTGGGCAATTTTGCAAGCAGTTTATGTGCGCTGAACAACTGTTGTGTTACAGATTTGAACTAATTTCTGATCCCTTATGCCAGTTTATGTGTAACTTCTGTCCCTAGCCATAGAAACGTGTACAGGTCATTTCATTGCTCTGTTTCCCATCTCCAGTCTGAGCTATATGGGAGGAGGAACTGTCTGTTACTAGTTCTATCTACATGTGCTATTAATTTGAGGTACTTCTGGTCCACTTCCAGGTCGGCCAGGGGGTGCCCAGGGGACCCTCCCCACCCCTGTGCTCTCATGGGATGCTCCATCCACCCCACCATCTCAGCATTCACAAGCCATGCCTGGTACCTTGAGGTACATAGAAAAAGCATATAAAGCTGTGTCTATGGCCGAATCATCAAATCTCTCCACATCTCTCCAAATCAAATTGGAGGCTTCCAATTCGATTTGGAGAGATTAATGGGTATCCTGATTCAATCCGGGTTTACGGATTCAGTCGCCGAATCGGGCCGAACCTCCTCCAAATTGAATCATCAACCGAAGTTTCACACACCCCTAAGAGAGAAGAGGATCTGGGAGTGGAAGGTGAAAATAGGATGCCTGGCTGTGAAATGCAGAGGAAGGTGAGACTCATTCAGGTATACAAAATTCCCTTCCCCTCTGGGTGCTACCCAGAGCTAGCAAGTACCCTGATGAAACGAGAGCGGCAGCAAGACCCTCAGAGGACTGTAACCTTTCTGGCCTGAAAAGAGAAGAGAGTGACTTATCAGAGGGATATCCTCACTACAGTGATTCAATAGTGCAAAATGATGTTCAACATTTTTTAAATCTAACTCCGTCCATTAAAGGAGTTGTCTATGCCTCTGTATTCTGTGAAGTGTGAAGAGCTTTATTCTCAGTGGATCACAAATAGGCCTATGGTGAAGTTCCTAATAATACTGAAAAAATGTCGTGTTCTGTATTTGAAGAGCTCTGTCTACTAGGAGAGGATCAATTCTCATCCTACCTTGATTCTAGTCACTCCTCTGTTTTCACAGGATTATGTTATCCATTATGTGTTTTTCTTCACAATTTTCCCAACCGTAAATCAAACGTTCTTATTCATTTAATCTCTCCCCACCATTCAAAGCCCTCTTCAAAGTATATCTTCTCTCTCTTAAAGCACCATGTGACTTCTTCATTTAATTGATTATATTCCTATTATCCACTTCATCATGCATTTTGAGTGAGTGGCTTCTTATCTCAGTCTGGAAGGTTCGTTAACAGAGAGCAGATGGATCAATATCCACATCATAGACATGCTAATTGCCTTGTCTACAACTAGGTTAACTGTTAGTACTCACCGCCAATCTTATAAGCTCCCAAAATATGGTAAATATTTCAGTCCTGTACAGATGTCATTCAGCAAATACTATATGCTAGTAATTGGCTTGAACTAAAACGCTCCTCAGAATTGGGGTGGGGGGGTGGGGGGAGGCGAAGGGTGCTCTGAATTTTCAGGGCTCATTTCTTATACACACAAAGGACTTGAGTCTCATTTTCTTGGAGCTGTGGAGCTGGTTAGAGTGCCTAAAAGTCTAAGTAAAATATCAACATCACTC